ACTCATTTCTCATTGGACTGACTTTTAGCGTACCTGAAAGCATTTTGTTGGTCACAGAATGCATTTGGCTATGGTTCAGTACCCTCGAGTAAGCTTGAATCTGACCTGGTCATGTCTTCATTTTCCTTAAGGTGATAATTTAGGAATCAACTGATCAGTGTCAAATATAGAATCTTATTTTTCTGCCTTTTTTTCAATGACTTAAAAAAGATTACACTATGACGTGCACTATGTTGTATGTAGAGCCATCTGCATCTCTCTTTTATTATTACACCTCCTGTCACATAAGACATTTCCACCTAAGGCTTTCTGTTCAGATTGCTGGATTTGAGTGTCGCCCATTCAAATACAACTTGCCATTGAACACTGGATTTTAAATAATTCTCTATTTAAAGTAACTTCCAGGAACATTGCTGTACTGCCAACATTTAAAATAAGAAATGTGGTATTTGCAGCCATTTCCTACAGTACTTGATTATGCAAAAGTGTATATGGATTGAAAATAAAAGTGGAGAACACTCAGAACATTTAGATAGCTGGTGTATTTTATTTTTAATAGTTCCTCAGTCTACATGAAAACATTTATCTTACTGTAATCACCAAATGTCTGTCTTTTATGTATTACTTTGATATTCTCTAATAAACTTGTTCTTTAGTTTTGTCTGCTGTTTATATGAAACGTTAAATTTAAATAATTGTATTGTACTCGAAATAAAATATTTTCAAAGGGATTAAACGCGTACATATATAGTCTACCCAAGTTTGGACAGTTTTGAAGGACCCTCGGATGGTTTCCAAACCAAAGCCTTTAACAAGTCTGTCCTACGACGTGTTCACCTAATTTGAATAAAACTATAGTCGCACGTGACAGAAGCGCCTCTTTCATCTTTTGTAGGAAGGTCACGCAGCCCAGAGCGAGCGCCACGCTCCTTCTGGAACTAAACACGTTGGCCCCGCCGTCTGTTGACTCCTCCGATTCACAACTCACACCTGGGTGGCCAAGGGTCACGTCCGACCTCCCAAAGGCGCCGGCACCTCTGCCCTCTTCTCCTTGGGGAAGCGGCAGATGGCGAGGGCGCGCCAGGACCTTAACTAGGACCAGTTCGGGCTGCGGCTCCTCCGGTCTCCTGCATGGCACCGCGGAACTCTCCGCTTCTCTCTCCGCTTCTCTCTCCGCTCCAGAACTTCCGAACTACCTTCCTAAACACTGTGAGACTCCTATGCCTTTGCCCCTACCCAGAATCCGGAAACCCGGGTTCTCGAGCAGCGTGAAACCGGGTCTCGGAAGCGTCGCGCACACCGAAAGCAGTTACGACGCTCGGGCCAGCGGGCGCCACGGCAACCTCTAGGACTCCGTCTCTCCGCACTCTGAGCGCGCAGCTCCAGGGCAGAGCTCCGCGCCGGCCAGTCGCCACCAATAGCAACCCAGGCTCCCAGGGCTGAGCCAATGGGAGCACACGGAGTGTCGAGACTTAGACCATCACAGTCTTCGCTCCTCAGTACCCACCCTTGCAGCATCGCCAGCTTTAGTTTCTCTGGCTCCAAAGACCTGCGATTGTAATTACTCACCTTTCCTCAGAGACACTTTCCCTAGAGTAGTTCAGGCCTTGCAGAATTGCACTTCTTGCTGGATTCTTGCTCTCTGCTCGGTTCGGGAAGGCAGGTGCAAACGTTTTCAACTCGACCGCAAGCTTGCGCGTAAGCTCAACACTTCACTGTTCAGCCAAGCATTTCAAAAATTCTTGAGGGAAGAGTAAACCTTCTTCCCACTCCACTAGCCATTATAAACCATTTGTATCGATATCTGAGCTTAAAAGAGAAAGAGAACCTGATAAGGGATTCTGAAGAAGTTTCTCCTTAACACGTTTGGAAGTCCTGTGTTCACCGACGTTGATCGGATTTGGGCAAGGGCTGGAAATGAATCAAAAGATGAGCGAATGCCCCGCAGAAAGATGTTAATGCTTATAAAAGGGCTTAGATCGTCATCTCCTTAAGTTGATGTTGCAATGAAAGCAGAAAGGGATACTAGTTATTTTATATTATTTGAGTTTACTATGCAGGTGTGGTTTTTAAAAAGCGCTTACTTGCATCAATTAATTTTCACAACTACCCTATTGCTTGTTTTACTCTGTTTAACAAATTATAAAATTAAGGCAATAGAGACACTGGCCCAAAATGCCAAGCTGGTACATTGCAGAGGCAAAACTAAAACCCAGAGAAGTCTGATATATTTAAGTTACCAAAACATTTTAATACCCAAATTAAGCAGGTCCAAACAATCTAGAGTGTTTCACTTCTTAAAAACATGAATCTTCTTCCTATCTTTTTAAAAATCTTTTGGTATATAATACTTGGCTAAAAATCTCAGAAATTTCCAGTGGCTTCCGCATTGCCCTCAAAGTTAGTTATGATCACCAGAATAAAAAGGATTGAGTGAAAAGGAGTGGAGAGAAAAGGACAGAAGACTGAAAGAAATAATCTGTGGAACACTAATCCAACTGAGGTTGAAATAATTAATGTTAAAATAATTAACATTGCTATTAACTGTACATCACTGATTTGACTTTGTCATGGCATTAACTATATATGACAATATGCACTTACATGAACAAATATAGGGATTATCTGAAGCAATCTATGGAGATTTACAAGCAACCTGTTATTAAAAGCCTTTAAAATCTTTGTTCGAGTTGGGCATGGTGGCACACAACTGTAATTCCAACACTGAGGCTGAAGCAGAAAAATCGCCAAGAGTTTGAGGCCACCTTGAACTACATAGTGAGATCCTGTCTCAAAAAAACAGAAACAAATGAAGAAGTAAATCTTTCCTTAGTTTTCATTATTTATATTGGCATCTATTCTAATAGTAGATACCAGGTTATGAAGGGAGAAACAGGATGCTGGGGATTTTGTTAGTTTTATTAAATTTTTATCAATTCTCAATGTATTCCTTTGACCAAGCTATTTTTAATGTACTATGAGTTAGTACTGTACTAGGAAATGGGATGGGGGTCAATACTTTATAGTGATAGGACTTTTCTGGGAGGCCTTTCTCACTTTCCCAAGAGCTGATTTCAGAAACAATTTTCCAGTATCCTACTACAAGCATTGATTTGAGTCCAAGTAATAATTGTTTCAAAGGACAGGACTGTGGATACTAAGTAGATGATGAGAACCTCTGAGTTCTTGAAGCCCAGATTTAGGAAAAAGATGCCCAAGTTCATTTCCAGTCCTGGGTAGCAAGAACATCCCTGACCCATGGTCTTCTTTTTCCCAGAAGAAAGAACTACAAATAGTATAAGAATCTGGCAGAGAGTAGGTCCTCACTCAATGGTAGTATCTTTATCACCATATTTACATATGATGTAACTCCACACTTCCCCCATTTAGGCTTTCTTTTACAAAGCAAAATAGTTTATGGTCAACAGACACTATGAACCTATAGTTCCTAAAACAAGTCTTCTCAGTAGAAATTATTTTTCAAACAGCACCAATAGAAATTAGATGCCTTTCCCCCACTCAGGGTCCAGCTGTGAAGTATCAGAAAAAATGTCCTTGCCAACCACTGGGTGACTGAGGCAAGGTTCCCAACGGGGAGACAGCAGGGGAGACTTTCAAAGTTTTCAGGACTCAGAAATACTGGACATACTTAAATGAGTTCATCAGGATCCTATCCAGACGTGTGGGTGAGCTTGCTGAGTCACTGAGCCAACCTCTAAGAAAACTGTTGCACACCTGGGCTCTTGAGTTACTGGCCCTGAGGGCCTAATTCTCCATTTCTACAGTGAAATCCTCTCCAGAGAGTATATAGGGAGGAGGGAGAGTGCCTTCCATTTGTAGCCCACAAAATTATATTCTTTATATCTTTCCATTAGCATTAATTTTTTAAAAAACACCAAATAGTCATTTCTTCTGACTTTGCTGTTCTAATTACAGGCTTCCCAGTGACCTTGAAGAATATGTTTTCTCCTCTGTTAAATGGGACTAATACTGAGAGTACAAGATTGTTAGGAGTACATGGGGTACATTGTTAGGAGTACATGAGTACATTATTAGATAAAGTATGTAGATCAGCACCTCCACAAAATACATACTTTAGTATTTGTTGAATGAACACTAAAGTGTATGGATCATAACCACTGAGCAAGCTTCTTTTTTACCTCCCAAGGAAAGTTCTGTCAAAATGAAATGTAATAAGAAATAGTGATTCTACAGTTCCATAATTCTTTCTGACAAGGGATTAAAATGCAAAAGTTTATCTTTTCCCTTGAAGGGCAGTAGCTAATTTCAGGAAGGCTGTTTTCCGAAACAATGTTTTCAGAAACCAATTGTTTTGCCTGCTGAGAACCTCTGAAATGTGTCTTTAAAATGGTGTATTTCCCTCTCATAACACCAATTAACATGTATTCTATGAATAATCAAAGTATTCAGAGACCTATGCTTTGTTTTATTATGAAGTTTCTTCAAACTTTTTTTTAAAAAGCTGTTTCCAATTAAACTACTTCTTTAAAGGATCTGAAATCGCTAAGTGAACAAACTTTCGTTTGCATTTTTATTTTTCTTAAAGATTGCACAAACTGGAACCAAGACCAAAATAATGTATCCACTGTACATAATTCCTTATAAAACAACATACACATTTGTACTCTACCAAATAGGATATTTTCTTTAAAATTATATATTGCATGCTCTTAGATTCATGCTTTAGATATTTCACATTTATCATTATTCTCTCATAAATAATTGCAACTTGACCAATTTGTACACCTGCTACCACTGTGTATTCAGTGTGGCAAGGAGTAGTCTTTGACATGAGAACGAGTGAAATAGAAACACGTGTATTGATGTCACATGACTGAATTGTGACTAGTGTTTTGCCTATACAGTAAAATGCTAATGTAAAATTCACACAAAACCTCGCTTCAAAAGGCACAATTTCCTTCACAGAAAAGTACAATTTAAAAATAGATGGCAGTTAAAGTCGGGGCCCTCCAGGACAGTAGGATGTTGGTATTAATGTAATTCTAAACCCCTAGAGAAGACCGCTCTGCCGGCGGCGTGAGGTGAGGTGGGGAAGCTATCCAAGGGGTCCTGGAGGCGAGAGACCCACCACCCGTGCTGCCCCGTGGTCAAATTTCTTTAAGCTGTCTCTGAACCCCTACTGAATTTCAGCTCTGTTTCTATCACCAGGTCCTTCTTCTCATCGCCAGATTTCCTCTTCTCCCAGAACGGACCTCACACACACTCCTCCCGACTGTGTTCGCGCCCCGGCCCCTTCCAGGCTAGACCTTTTACAAGTCTCGATCGCCACCGCCCTCAGCCTCCACGTCGCTCTGGTCGTCGGTGAAGCAGACGTCCACGTCGCTGTCCTCGCTTTTGGGATCCCTAGGCTCCAGGGGATAGGCCGGCTCGGTGCCAGGGCCGTCGTCCGCCTTGGCCAGCAGGCTCTGGCCGGGGTGGCGGGACTTGACATGGCGCTCCAGGTCCCTGCGGCGCACAAGCACCTTGCCGCAGAACTCGCAGCGATAGGGAGTGTTGCCCTCGGCGTGCAGTCGGATGTGCTTGTTGAGATTGCTGGGGTCGCCAAAGGGCCGCAGGCACACTTTGCACTTGAGTGGCTTGTAGCCCGTGTGCGTCCGCATGTGAATCTTGAGCCCATACTTGCGCGAGTACAGCTTGCCGCAGTAGAGGCACAGGTGGCCCGTCTTGGGCTTGCTCGCGCCGCCACCCCCGCTGCCGCCGCTCCCAGGGGCCCCAGCCGCCACCAGGGCGGGCGGCAGAGCCCCCGAGTCCAGGCGGCCGCGGCCCTTCCCGGCCAAGGCCATCTCAGACAGCTGCTGAGTGTGCATGGCGATCTCTCGGTCAATGCTGGCCAGGGAACCCAGCTCCGCGGGGCTCAGGCCAGCCGCGGCCGCAGCCGCTGCGGCCCCGCTCAAGTACGAGATGGACTCGGGGTACTTGAGCAGCCCCCCGAAGTGCAGTTTCAGCGGGTAATAGGCGGCCGCAGCCGGCGAGCCGTACAGCACCTCTCCGTTGTAGACCGTAAAGGCTGGCATGACAGCGGGCAGGTGGCTGCACTCGCCGCCCGGGTAGCCCTTGAGCCCGCCCGCGTCGAGAGGCGGGAGGGCGCAGCGCTCCAGGGGCAGCCGGGGCGCTGGGGGCAGCGGAGCATAACGCGCTCCCGGAAGAGCGGCGGCTGCAGGCGGGGTGCGCTCCACGTGTTTGAAGGCTGATGCCTCCTCCGGGTGACCCGGGAGGAGAGGAAAGCCGCGGAGGGCCCCGGAGCAAGGAAGGCCGGGCGGCGGCGGCGGAGGCGGGTCAGCTGCGAGCAGGCACTTGGGGTGGTGGTGGTGGTGGTGGTTGTGGTGGTGCGCGTGGTGGTAATGGTGGTGGCCCACGCCGCCAGCCGCCGGGCTCTCTCCACTCCCGGGGCGTCCGCCTCCCCGGCCCCCGCCCAGAAGCCTGCCCAACGCTTGGCCGGCTCCCTGCTTGCCGCTGCCCTCCTCCCGGTAGGGGTCGCCATGCGCAGCCGCCGCTACCCTGGCCAAGCCCGCGGGTTTGAAAGCCGAGCGCACCCCGGGATAGAAGGCCAGGCCACCGCCGCCAGCTTGGGAGCCGCCCATAATGCCGAGGAAGTGGCTATGTGCTCGGGCGGGCCCGCTCACGTCCAGTACAAGGTCTTGCTGCTCTTTGACCTTTTTAGGCGGCCCCCACTTGCCCGGGGTCGGCGAGGAGGCCGAGGGCGCAGAGGAGGCCTCGCGCTTGATGCTCTCCCGGGCGCCGCAGGCCTGCGGAGGCTGCAAAACCTGTGTTTGGGGCCGCAAAGTGCCTGTCTGGGCGGGCGCAGCGAAGTCTGGTGCTGCAGGTTTCGGGGAGAGGCCGAAGCCATCCGCTGGCGCCTGGGCAGCGCCTTGGCGAGCTGCGTGCTCGTGGTGCAGGAAGGCGCGGCCCCCGCCGCCGCTGAGGACGCAGTGGAAACGCAGGTGTGCTTTAAGGCTGTTGGGGTATCTAAAGGTCCTCCAGCAGTACCAGCAAATGTAGCGCTCCTCTCCTGGACAAGAAAAAGTAGGAAAGCGACCCCGTGAGAAGGCTGACAAACAAGGCGGAAAGAAAGTGCCCGAGCACCCAAAGAAAAGCTCAGGTTTTGACCGGCGGTATGGGAGTCTCAGGAGTATAAATTCTTGGGGCCAGACGAATAAATGAGCTTTGTAACTCCACTATATCAAGAACCTCGAAAAGTCCCAAATGGCCAACCCTTGTCACTTGCTCCATTCTCTAAGAATTCTAAGAGGGCAAGAGCTGTGACCTGGGCCTTTCCAACGAATACGTCCTCCAGGCTGTCCGAACGAATCTCCCTTGGAAGGGCTGCGCTCAGGCAGGCTAGCTGGGCAAGAGCAGAGAGCAGCTGTTGCTTTAAATCAAGTGTTGAGGGTGCGCTGTGCCTGGGCCCATCTGTTGGCGTTTGCAGAATAGGTGGCGTATGTCAAGGAGTTTGGATAAACTGAACAAAGGCCAATCTAATAGTCGTGAGCGTCTCATTACCAGGCGAGACAATATCCTGTATGTATGGGCCATATGTAATCATTCCTTTTCATAGAACAATGTCTTTTGTGTCCACTGCCCACTCTCTTTACCCCCTCCCAGCCTTAAACACTTTGCCTGAGGTTTTCCTGGAGCGTGACCAACTGAAGGACCACATAGGGACTATGATTTGCTATTCTTCAAAATTATTTGTATCTTTATTTCCTCTTTAACCCCATTTAATTTGATGGGAGAAAAAATTCTGGAAAGGATGATGATATTCTAAGCAGAGTGAAGTTGCATTGTCTTTTCAGTTGTCCCAGCTGATAATTAATAATTCCTAGATAACTGCACAAATCCAACTTAGTAAAAGTCCTTGGAGAAGATATATTAGCTTATGTTTTAATTCCATAAATATACATATATATGTGGAATAAATATATAGAAATAGATACTCAGCTTTTAATAAGTGCAAAATTCTCTACCAGATACTATGTACATGTGTGGTGTCAAATCAAATCTGTGCATGTGTATTTTGTATTATTAGCATTGTTTTTCATTTTAACAGAGTCTGTGAACACAGTCGAGAAACAGATTCTGGTTAAATGGTAAAAGTTAATTTTCACTCAAAAAGGTCACGCTATTTCTGTATGTAGAAAACTTATCTTGCAATTAGGGTTTTTTTTTAATGTGGTTCATTGATGATGTTGAGGGAAAGGGTACCCATGAGAAAGAAGTTAGTTGAGCCGCAAGGAAGTATACAAACTATATGTCAATCTCTTCAAAGTTAATGGAAAAGTAAAATCCTCCCTCCTTATATACAAGCAGTTCAAACTTTTTTAACATTACTACAGAAAAAAACAATGGGAGAAATCCCAGATCTCCTCTCCTTCAGGTATATTAGCTTTGGGCTTTGCATAAAGCAAGTAGCTACTCTAGATAACAAAGATAAAAGTTTGAGTAAGAAGCACTTTGTTCCAACACAGATCAATGGAAAACAGGAAGAAGAAAAGGAGAGAAGAGGGCTTGCCTATGAGACCCTATTCTAATTGTTTCTAGAAGACTTAGATAAAGCTATTTCAATATTCCTACTACTGAACATTTATGAAAAACAAATCAAAAGAAACAGGCAACCTCCTGGTGAATATATTGATTTAATATCTTAACATCCCTTCTCTTAAATTCAGAACCTCCCAGTCATCACCTCTTTTTACCAGTCTGCCCTAGAATGACTGAGCCAATGCAAAGCCTAGTAATCTTTGTTCTTATAACAAAGGGGCACTAATTTTCTACTAAAGTTAGCCAGTATTGGAAAAATAGAAGCCATCTTATTTCTTCCTCCTTCCAAGATTTAAGCAAAATGTGTATTTTCCAACTCAGTACATCTCTTTCAGTTCATTCTAATCAATATGTTCTATGAACTCTGAGATCCAGCTCATGTCAAGTGTATGAAACACACTTCATAAGTGACTTTGACTTCTCTCTTTCATGTGACCCTAAAATAGTCAAGATTTCGAGCATCTCTAAGCAAGAGATGTCAGATTCAAAATAACCTATACTTTTCTCAAAAGGAAAATGGTGGGGGGGTTTTCATGTTAACATGATGTTTATAAATTCAGTTGGCTGAAATAAAAACACAAGGGCTACTACTGAAACAAGTTGCTTTTGTACTACTTGGAAGTGCAGAAATGGCTGGCCTGATAGGCCAGTAGCCCCTCAAACTGTTCTATACTGGCAGATTTGAAAGTTCACCAAAATGAGTCTCTTATATTTCTCTTTTATTAGAAGAAGTTAACAAGAGAATTTGAAAATGTCACTCAAGGAGCAAACTACATGAGGATAATTTTCATAGATATTGTGCATTTAAATCTTCACAAATAGAGTTAATTTACAGAAGACAGAGATATTTTGAAGTGAAGTGATTCATCATTCTGAATAAACTTCTTTCCATCTTATTCATAAAGGGTTTCCTAATTCCCATATTTTTATTAATTTCTTTGTACCTTTTTCTAAAGGATAAAATTGAGCAGCAATTCCAGAAGAGATCATGTTAAAAATATTTTACAGCATTCGTTATTGTGACTCTAAATCATAAGTGGGCCTTTATAAGAAATTACAGACAAACTAAAACAATTGGCAAGGGGAAAAAAAAGCTACAGAAGCTTTGTATCTGAAAAGGGAGACTCAGAACCTTAACTATTTTAGCACCTCCCAGCCTTCTTTCCATGGAACTGTTCTTAGTGTTCCAGGGAAGGCTTGCAAATGCTTCTCTTTAGTTGCTGCACCTTGATTTGCATAAATCCACTCTTGGCTTTGAAGGGATCAAATAAATCTGAGAAGAAATTGGGATACATTCCAGATTCAATTTAAGTAGGGAGGGAGAAACAAATAAATACCATTTAGAGGGAAGGACCTTAGTACCTGCCAACTGTCCAGTGGTGAGTACCGTAATGTTTCTAAAATGCTGTAGCAATACATTGCTGTCCTCAAAAACCAGTGAAGAGACACTTTTCCATCTTAGAAAAGCATTTGAGGTTTGAGTTGTGCTCTCTGGAACTCATGTAATTACTGTAACAATATTTTAAGGCTCCTTTATTGATTCTTAATTGAGCAAGTAGTTGTCATTTTGGATGTGTGATAGGAAAGGGTGGTCCTATGTCGTTCATAAAGAGTAATTTACCAAGGCCATCATAAGCAAGATTGCTACTGTCACTTTTTTTTTAACCAGTGACTGCTGATTTTAAGGGGATAGTGGTAGATGTTCTTTGTGCCTAAGAAGGGAGCATGAATTCAGTTTTACACAGCTGGAAAGAAATACCCTTAAAATCTGGGGACACACCCCCCAGGACCCAGGCAGGATCCAGGCAGGAGGGCTGGAGTCTGACCCACCCACGCTGGCCTGGAAGCCTCCACGGAGGCGGTACCTTTCTCGTCGTGCGTGGGGGTCGCAGTTGTGGGGATGTCAAACCACTGAGCCAAGGAGTTGGAATACCACACAGTCAGCTCCTCCCCTGGCTGGACATCTCGCAGTGCTCGGTAGAAGATCTGGGACACAAGCAATAGGAAAGATCTCTGTCATTTCCTGGGTTATTGGTCAAAATGCAACTGGGAAGAAAGGTTCAGATGCCGATTCTGTTGATGTTTCGTGGCCCTGGAGAAGTTACAGAATCTCTCAGAACCTCACTTCCTTTATTCTTCAAATGGGAAAACAGTACAGTAGCACCTACTGTATAAGGTTGTGGGGACTTTAAATCAGACCTGTAGCTAATGCTCTTTGCTCTTAATATTGTTGGCCACCCTAGGTTATGTAAATAGAATTGGCAGGGGTGGGGGCGGGGAGAGCCCACAGTACCTGTCCTCCGGGTAAGTCTGCATAAGCTTCCAGAGTCTGCTCCTGGGGACTCCTGGCTGCCCGGATTAACCCTATCCACTCCAGAGGGGAGCCCCCCGACTCGTCCACCAGCTCCCCTCTCACCATGCGCACCTGCAACACAAGCAGTGGTCGTTCTCTCCTTCACCACGATGAGGCCCACACCCAGGAGGTAAAGTTTCTCCTCCACCCCACCGGACTCAGGAATATGTTTGTGTTCCCTTTGGTCAGACCCCTGTGGGCTGTAGGGAAGAGGGTAATTCCTTGGGGTGCTAGCTTGGAGGATGGAGACAGCGGGTGGCTGGCTGGTAGGACAACCTCTCCACCACCACCACCTTGGCAGCCCAGGGCGGGATGGGGGCGGACTTCCAGAGCAACTGGGCGCGTCTCCTACCGAGACCTTTCCCACCCCCGACCCGCCACTCCCACTGCTGTTCTGAAAGCAGCCCTGACGGGAGAGAGAGACCTTTGGAAATCAGTCCGTCCTTTCGTCTATCCCCCATTTCTCACTTCTCCCAAGTTCTCGCAGCACCGCGCCTAGGTGCAAGTGAGTGAAATTCTGGGAACGAAGGGGTTCCAAAGAAATTTTCCCCGAAGTTAACCGGCCTTTCAGAAGAAAATAAACTGCGCTTTAAGAGGAAGGCGTGCCGTTTTAAGAGGTTAGACCGGGACGTAGGGGGAAGAGAGTTGACTGCGAGAGGAGAGAGATGCGGGTCCGACGGCTGGACCCCAGAGCTACTTCTAACAAGAGAGCTTTAGGTAGCAGTAAAGCCAAAGTCCTTTTTTCCGCTAGACTTCTGCCTTCATTTGCTGCTCGCTGCGCCGCTGGGACGCCCCCAGAGCCGGTGAGAGCCTTTAAATCCTCTCTCTGGTTTGTGACGCTGTTTGGGGAATCAGAGCGGGCGGGTTCCCCCGGGGCCGGGGTTGTCCCCGGTTGGGACTGCGGTATCTCAAAGCCCGGCTTCAGGCGTGGGGACCCCGTGCCCCACGCGGGTGGGCGCCCTGCTCTTTGAGCCTGCTTCAGGGCCACCACCCGGTCTCCACTGACTCCTAACTCACAAGCAAACCGGTGAAAAGATAAACCTGGGGAGATCCCAGAAACTAAATCTCCCACGTATGATCTTTTCGGAAAAATTGGAATTAAACTAAAGACAAATTTAAGCCTCAAATTAACATCAATGAGGAAGACGGGAAGAAAAGTCCTCGACGCCCTGGGTCCCTACAGGAAGGATGCGTTTGCCTAGAGAGACAAGGACGGGGGCGGGGGGGGGGGATCCTGGATGCCGTACTGAGAACACCCAGAGCTCTGGGGCAACCGCTGGTTCCCAATAGTCGTGGCATAGAAAGCCTGGTGCATCGCAATCGCGGGCTGTTTCCTCTCAGCCACGTCTTTACCCCTCCGCCCAGCCCACGCTCCAGCTCTCAGTGAAACTTGCTAGGAATAATCGGAATTCCCTTCTACTGGGCAGAATTAGCAGGTAAAAAGGCAGTAGCCCGTTCCTCCACTTCCCTACTCTACTCCTTCCCTGGGTCAGAGCAGAGGGAGGCGCACGGCGGGGGGCAGAGGTCGGAATGGCCAATACCTTTTTCTTGGGCCCGGGCTCTCTGCGATCTGACAGGTACTTGCCCAGCTTGAAGGTGCCAGGCACTGGCCCCAGGCGCAAGCCAGCCGGGATGCAGCAGTCGGCACTCACGCTGGTGGCCGGAGCGCGGGCGGCTCCTTGCATTGTTGCCGTCGCCGCCAGGCAGGCGCTGGGGCTCGCGGGGTCCTCCGTAAGGCGCTAGTGTCAGCGCCCGGGCCTTAAGCGAGCCAGGGAGCCGCGCCCCGACGTGCGTCCTCCGCCCGCGGAGTGACGCGGACGGGCAAGCACTGCGCCTTTTCAAGCAGGGCGGGCGCCTTTTGGCATCGCGAGCGCAAGGGCGCGGAGTTTGGTGAGAGAGTTGCGCTGCGAAGCAGCTGCAGGGTCCCACCCGAGAGGGTCACATGGAGTGGTTCCCTCAGCCCCCTGCATAATCGAGGCCTCTGAATGGCTAGCACACAATGGTCTAGGCGACCTTCCCATTCCTAAAAATCCAATTTGTCAAGGGCGAAGAAAAGGCTCTGGTGAATCAAAGGTCCGGCGGGACCATTAATCCTCAGCATGGGGTATTGTCCCCGAGACAGTTACGATATTTTAAGTGACAAATCCACTGTATAATTTCTCCATAAATTTTACTTCTCTTTATTGTTCGCGGACAAACCAGTTTTTGGAAATAAGTGACTACTTTAAGTCTACTTGGCTGATTCCTTTGAGCCTTGGTCTACTTCAAAGATTTTTAATTCTCTCCCCTTGGCTTTATTGTAAAGGAGATTAAACAAAGAGATGGGTACTGTTTGGAGGACTTGTTAACTTCTATTGATTTCTGGCGTGTGCCATACAGAAATTAGGCAGGTACTTGATGGGAAGACACCAGAAAATACCTACACTTTTTAAATAACGACCATATTACCATTTCAGGGGATTGGGTTCAGGCCAGTGTCTATTTAGAACAAGTTTATTTGTTCCTTCTGCCGTGTTTCGTCCTGAACTATGAAACCTCCGGACTATTTGAAGTCAATTGTGCAGTGCTGTTACACAGGTCCACTCTGGGGTCCGCACTTTCTCTGGAGAATAGGAAATGGCCACAGGACCAAAGGATTCACAGGGAATCCTGCGCCATCGACCCGCTGCACAGTTGAAGAGGTGGTTCTTTGGGTCAAGTTATTAATCACGAATCCTCCACATGCCAACCAATAATTTTGCTTTTAAATTTAAAATGGGAACAAAACCCTTCCCTAGAACCAACAAACTGAATTTTCTTATTTTAAAAAACAAGCAGAAAGCCAGCAGTTTTTCAAAGGCTTTGGAGACAAGGAGAGATATGTGTTTGGGTCAATTTCTGCCTATATGCAGCTGAAGCTAACAGGACAGATACTTCAGAGTTAAACTGGCCCCCACACAAACCCCTTTCTTTTAGGGAAGGCTATCTGTGAGAGAATATTTATTGACATAAAATAGCGCCTGGGTAATCGAGGTCATCAGATATTCGTGACAGTTATGTGGCACTTACTGTGTGCACTGCTAGTCCTGGGAGTCTTCCCCCAAATCCTAGGCAGCCAGCCCTGGAGCCCTCACACAGTCCCTGAGAGGCCTGAGTGGTGCTGGGTTTCCCAGTTAGGGTCAGAAAAGGTATAGAAGGGCAGAGGACCCACTCCCAGCAGCTCCCGCACTGCCTTTCTAGGTGGTTTTGCCCAAGGAGGGTGCAGTTGTCTCACCACCAGGAGTGACTATGGTTAACCACAGCGCAGGATGAAGGTGGAACATCTGTAACTTCACGGTTTGTCTCAGGAGAGCTCTCAAAGAAGCGGATGGCAACTGGTTTGAAACATGTGATTGCCACACTGGACATAGGAGGCTGCAGAGTCATTCAGTCTGTGTGTTGCCAACCCAAATGAATTACTTCAGAGCCTCAGTCTCTTAATCTATAAAACGGGACTGTTGGTTGGAGACAGACGTTTGAATCCATCTTCACTGTCTACCTCAATTGTTTTTGAAGATCTCTTACAGCACCTGTAGCATTTTGATAGCTCCAAAGGATTCAGTTTGGAGTCATGGGAGAATCTAGGCCAGGTCAAAGGTCTCCAGTCTGAGCATCTCAAGTCAGACCTTGCAGGGACACCTGGAGAACCAGACTTGGGGCCCAATCCAGTACCTATGTAGACATGGCTTCAAGGACACAGAATATCCCCTGTGAGGGTCTGAGCGGCCACCGTTCTGCCCTCTCTGCTTGTACAACCAGGCCATGCCCAGTGCCACTTTCTGAAGGAGCTACCACTGAGTTTCGTTCTTAAACTCCCAATAGCTCCACTGCAGCCCTCCTAGGCTGCCCTCCGGAGAGAGGAGGGAGCCTTTGATCCCTCAGCCTATGAATGGCAAAAGCCGGAGGAGGGGAGGAGGAGAGGAAGCTACTGGAAGAGTCGAGGGCAATAAATTTAAGCCATGAACATGTCCCTCTAACCTCTGGCCTGGCGACTCCGGGATGACTCCCAGTTTAAATTACCAGCACTGCAAGCGGGAAGGGGCGAGCATAGGGCCTGGGTTCGGGGCGCCTCCCTGGCCCTCCTTAATGAGTGAAAAAGCGTGAACGACACGCGAACAATTTTATCAATAGGACCATGTAAAGGCCGACTGTGAGGAAAGTTATTTATTAATATAGCCAATTGTGGCTGGTTCCCAGCTCCGCTAGAAGAAAGAGACAGCGCCAGAGGCATTCACACCAGCTCGCCGAGTTTTATTCTGTCCTGTGGCTCAGAGTTGAAGCTCCCCAAGTGAAATAAATTGTCCACAAAGGAGGAAAGGAACACATTTTCTTTTATTTTTCCTCTTCTAAAAAGCAAGGGTGAAACCAATCTAATGTGCCCAGTGGAGCAAGATGGGCCGTGAAAGGCTGGGTGTTAAAAAGTAAAAGCGGGCTGTGCAGCAAATGGGATGGAAAATTAAATGAAATTAAATAGCTTGAACGCCCGTATTGTCCCTTATTAAAAAGACACATTAATTACATGGTCTCAGCCTTATTCAAAGACAATGTTGAGACTCAATCAAAACATTCCACTCGGGCTTTTTTATCCACTTAAAATGGGCGTCCAGAAGCCCTGCTTAAGCGAAATCCCTCCTACACCGAGGTGTCTCGGTGCTGCTCCCCGCCGCGGAACCGCGCGCAAGGCTCCCTCCCCAGTAACAGGTTGCCCCAGACGAGGTGAGGCGCGGACGCTCTTAAGCAGTCGCCGGCTGCGGAGTCAGAGTGACGGGAGCTCCGCGCGCGCCAGGCGGCTTTCAGAACCGGATGCATTAGGGGGCGGCCCCGGCTCGCAAGTCGCCGCTTCCCAGCCCACCCCCCACTCCCGGCTAGAGCTGCTGCGGGCGCCGAGCAAGTGCGCCCTGCCTGGGCTCCGCCTAGAGGGAAGGAGCCTCCGCGGACTCTAGTTCTGAGATTAGTGGCTCCTTCACAGCACACTTTTCTGAGGCTACGGTTCTCCGCTGCGCAAAGACCTAGGACTTCTGGCTCCCGGGGAGACCACGTTGGCTGTTCCCAGGGGCCCCAGTTCTCGGCGCGGTGTTGCGGAGTCACGAGTAACGCTGCCACCCCGCCGCGCCCCGGATGGAGGGAGCGGCCAGGCTCGGCGGAGTCAGAGGCCTGGAGAGCCCGGTTCAGTGGCCCAGTGTGGGCCAGAGGTGGCCTGTGACGCGCCCCCCAGAGGGTGTCAGTGGCGGCCGGGCAGCCAGGTCAGAGCAGATCAGCTGCGCGGCCCCCGAGGCGCGGGTGGGACATTAAGGCAGGGTCTGAATAGGGCGGCGGCGGCGGGCTCTGGGAACGCCACCAGATGACACGCCGGAGACTGGGCCATTTTCCCCTTAATTACGTGGCCGGTGGAACCGCGGCGGCCGGGAGGCTCCAAACTCGCAGCCAAGGACACAGGCCGGACACCGCTGGTGGGTTTTGTGGTACTTTTTGTTGTTGTTGTTTTTTAAATCCTCCTTTGGAAACGGCTCAATAAAAGTATTCAGAGTCCCTCTCAAGTTGCCTTTTAACCGCAGTTCCCCAACTTATTTCTTGGCTCTTTCGGTTGACATGGTGCAAAGAAAAGTCAGCGAGCGTGTTGTTGAATTGCAATGTCTTGGGGCACCTCCACATTCAACGCTTCTCCGCCGGCCTCCGCCGAATGAGCCCGCGCTCAATTCGATTTTCCTTGCTGTTGGGCACATTTAGGAGCGCCTCTATTTGTGAAGTTCATTTCTAGGCAAATGTATTCAAGAGCTGATGGGAATGAATAGGACCGTGTGTCAGCCGCCCCTAATTGGGATTAAAGCACTTAGGAGCATATGCAGAGAGTGACAGAAATTCTCAGGTTGCATTGTGTTCAGACTTCCACCCGCTCGGAGGCTCCTCCTCCAATGGAAATTTATAAAGATTGCAGGAGAAACTGAGGAAAGAAAAGCAAAACGGAAAGAACTGGACTAATGGCTCAGGATGGGGCTGCAGTTCAGCAAGTGGAGGTGACAGCTTCAGAGAAAAGATGCTGGGGATAATTGAATGCGGGAGGGGGAGCAGGTCTGAACTCTAATCAGAAAGGCGGGGAGTTAAAAGGCGAAATAAAGATGTTCTTGAGATTCCCAGACGCCCCCCTCTCCCCAACCCCAGTCTGGCATTATTTCTCTTTATCTGTGATCCCAGGTCCTCCCTGCTCAAGAACATATCCTTTCTGGAAGCAATAATGAGCACAACTTGGTACTTGAAATAGAGGAGAGGGAGAGTCATAAAAGAAACCAAAAAAGAAACAAAAATATCTTTTGCATGTTAAAAACTTCATGCTCAATAAATCAATGAAAATATTTCTTGATGTATGTATGTGAAATATATACACTATGTGAAAATACAAGTATGGTGATAAGTAACCATATATGTTCAGATTGTGTGCGTGTGTGTGTGCACGTGTGTGTGTGTGTGTGTGTGTGTGTGTGTGTGTGTAGATTTACATAGTCTGCTTGTAAATCTCACCCGAAAGTGGCTGCAGGGTATTTTGGGCTGAGGTGACAAGACCTTTTAAAAGCTGAAAATCAGCACGGAGCTGAAGCTGAGACAGTTGTCCAAGTAGAAAGCAATGACAGGCTCTCTTAGGCCCTGAGGAAGAGAGAAGACAGGAAAGACAGGTGAACACTGAACAAAAGAATGAAGGGAGAGTTGTTACTTGGATTTCCTCATTAGTTTTCTAGGTTGTTAAATCCCTCTGGAAACATGGGTTCCTTGGAAGAGGGACACTCTGGTGTCTTAGGGCAGCACAGAAAGACTTCTCACTGTGTTTTTTAGATCATTTTATGCTTAGTAAAAATATGTTCCCAATTCAGTTATCCTTGAAAAATTTTAAAACATTTGAATAAGGTCAAGAGGGAAAAGGGAAGACAAGGAAGGCTCTGGTGGGGATCTGGATTAAGGGTAACAGCCAATAGCTTCTGTAATAAATTCATACTCAGAGTTAGGCTGCCAAACTCACTCTAGGACCCTAGATTGACCACAGAAGTCAGAGGCCCCTACTTCAGATTTCAGTGTGGTGGGAGCTGTGTTCTGCATCTACAGAAGGGACTGGAGGGAGGGATGACTAAGTGATAGAGGGTCCAGATCCCCAGGGAAAGCTGAGTGAAATATTTTTTGTTTGTTTTGTTTTTTGGTACTCCGGATCAAACTCAGGACCTTGTTCTTGTGAGGCAGGTGGTGGCACCACTGAGCTAAATCCCCCACTGAGTGAAATATTTTTTAAAGATCTAAAAACTGCCTTTGTCTCCAGGAGAACCCACCTCATAATAAAAGAACTTGTACATCCTAAGAGTGTACACTCTTAGGAAGGTGGTGCATCGTGAGAGGAAACCAAAGTGGCAGACACTTCTGTGGCCCTTGGGACAATCTGTTAATGATGGAAGTTCATCAGATGGCCATAGGAAAAAGAAAACAATAAAAATTTCCAATATGGAAACAGCCCAATTGCCCATCAACTGGAGACAGGATAAAGAAGATGTTGTTTTAATAAAATGGAGTACTACTTAGCCATAAAAAATGAGAAACTAGAGACATTTACAGCTAAATGGATGCATATTGAGGCCATACTCATAAGAGAAATAAATAGACATATCTGTGTAAATACAGAATAGTTTCTCTGGTGTGAGAAACTGAAAGTGTAAATAAGGATCAAAATGTATAATTGATCATGTGAAAGGGGTAGGGGAAGTGGGAGGGGTAGGGGAAAGGAAAGAAGGGAAAGGAAAAAATATGAGAAAAGGAAAAAATGGAAACAAAGTCTTTGTAAATAGAGAAAGATGGAGGGGTTGAAAGGAGGGCAGGGGAATGGAGGAAAAATAAGAACCAAGATACATCATGTAAAGGTACAAACACTCAATGATAAATGTAACTGTATGGTATACCTAAAATGTACCAATAAACTTAATGAAAAAAAATTCCAAGTATGTCCAACTAAGAACCAAACTCAGGTTCATTCCCACCATTTCCAAATAATGATTAGTAAACTCACTAATAGGGTTTTGTGTACTCCTATTGTCACTCTGATCAGACGTGTTATTCATGCTCATGTTATTTGTGCCCATGAGCAGATGGTAATATATTTAGCTTCCTGAAATCATGTTGGAATTTTATATATTTTTCATCTTACAGTAGGAATTCACAATCAGGTAACATTTCAAACACATAATCATGAAATAAAACCTAAGCAAAGTTACAAAAAATGAATTATTATGCACATACACACATTTTTAAAAGCTCTGCTGAGATTTATTCCCATGCATACAATTCATTCACTTGAAATATATAACAATTTTTATTATATTTACAAGGATGTGGATCTAATCAGCATAATTTAATTTTAGAACATTTTCATTCCCCACCCCAAAGAAAACCCACACCCAGTAGCTGTCACTATATCCTTGCTATCCTCCCCAGTTCTAGTCAATCACTAATGTATATTTTAAATCTAAACCATTATGTATTCTGCACATTTTGCATAGTTGGAATCACACAATATATGGTCTGTCGTGACTTAATGATTTCACTTAGCATGTTTTCAGGGTTTATCTTAGTTTATCTCCTGTTGCTGAACAGAATGCCTAACACTGGGTGACTAATAAGGACAAGAGGTTAATTTGGGCTCATCATTCTGAAGGCTGGGGAGTTCAAGATCAGGTGGCTGCATCTGGTGAGGTTCTTCTGTACTGGTGGGGACTCTTTGCAGAGTCCCAACAAGGTGTAGAACATAACATAGCAAAATAGAACAAGGTTGCTAGCTTAGGTCTTTCCTCCTCTTCTTTTAAAGTACAACTGCATCAGGAGATCCCTACCTTCATGACCTCATCTAATCTTAATTACCCCCAAAAAAGTTGTACCTCCAAGTACCGTTACCTATTGGCTTTGGGGATTGAGTTTCCAATACCTGACTTCAGGAGCAACATTATCCCCACCATCAGTGTATGAGGGTTCTGGTTTCTCTACATCCTCGCTATCACTTATCTGCATCTTTTATTATAGCCATCCTGGTAGATGAAGTGGTATAGCATTGTAGTTTTGATTTGTATTTCCCTAGTGATTAAATGAATAATGTTCAAACCTTTTATATGCTTCTTGCCATTTGTATAGCTTCTTTGGAGAAATACCTATTCAAATTATTTGCCCATGCTTTAATTAGTTAACTTTTCTTTCATTTATGAGTATGCATACATTTCTATAACTTTTTAAATGCACTATTCAAAACAGGCTGTTGCTCAGTGAGGTTAAGAAGCTTGCTTAGAGTTTCAGAGTAAATAATGGCAATAGAACCCCTCCCACATACCTCTAAACTCAAGCCATTTGTACATGATCCCATTGTATTTTGGAGATTTAATTGATATCACATACCTATGAGAATCATTATGCTATTGCAGGATGTTCTGATGATTGAGAGCGTGGGCTCTAGAGTCAGACCACCTGGATGAAAATGTTGCCTCTGACACTTTTTAACTATGTGAACTTGAGTAAGGGTAACCTTTCTATTCTCCAGTCTCACCTGTAAAGTATGAAGACTAAGAATACCTACTTCACAAGTTGCTTAGCATGGCATGGAAGATATAGAATCTACTCAGAAATGGTAATTACTAATATTTTTATGATGACTATTATATTTACCGTTTACTGAGCCTTGAAAAAAGACACTATACAGTTAGGCTGGGAAATACAAATCATAGATCAAATGGAGCAAGACTTTTGACACCAGTGGCTACTTGGGTAGTCACATAAAATACAGGCATGTATAACTCAGGGCAACAAATAATTGATGAGGGAAGACTCTTATTGATATATTCCATGTAATAAAGAATTCAAATATTATCCTTTTGTATCTTTTGGTGAAATAGTGAGTCAATAATGGCTAGCATCACAAAAAGCAAGGCAACTACATTGTATGTGCCTCTGACTAGAGGTATACAATAGTATTTATGAAATAGCTTTATTCAAATAAGCAAATAAACAAGCAAAATTAAACATGAACTTGATTGTTGTGATGACAGAAAATAGGACATATGAACTTGATAAGCATATCCATGGGAATTCAAGCATCAAAAACACAGCAAGTTTTTTAAAAAAAGAAACTATGGGAACTCTCTATTGATCAAATGACCAGTTTTTATTTTTAACTAATAGTCACAGTGGGTAGGGGAAGGAAAAGGAGAGGTAATCAATAGGTTTAGAGAGACTTAAAATTTTTATAGTTTAAAAATATGTCCACAGGCTGGGTGTGGTGGCCCATACCTATAATTACATCCCACAGGATGAGGCAGGAAGATCAATAGGAGTTCGAGGCCAGCCTGGGCTACATAGTGAGGTGAAGCCTAGCCTGAACTACATACAAAATCCTGTCTCAAATATATATATATAATATTATATCTAAACATATTTATATATAATTTTTGTATATTTATATATAAAAATATATATTCTTTAATAAACCTCAACTCAAAAAACAGAATCTTGAATGTGGGCATAATTTAATGACTTACTTGTAATGTGATATGTGACAGCAGTGTGATTTTCAAGACTAAGCTGTACAAATTCCTCCTTGATAGCTCTAGAATGCTGACTACATATATAATAGTATTAGAAAATAGTGTTAACCTCAAGTGGAATAATTGTAGTAAAGTTCTGTTTTTTCAATTCCTATTTTTCAGAGATATATGCTGAAATATTTATAGTTGAAATATGATGTCTGGGATTGGCTCCAAACAATTCTCAGATGGGAGGACAGTAGATACAGACATAGGTCAAGATTTTTCCACCACAGGAAAAAATATGAGAAAAGAAAAAAAAATGGAAATGAAATCTATGTAAATAGGGAAGGGCGGAGGGGTTGACGGGTGCACAGGTAATGGGGAAAAAAATAAGAACTAAGATACATCATGTACAGGTACAAGCACCCAATGATAAATGTAAACAAATTGTATACCTAAAATGTACGAATAAAAGAACAAAAAAAAAGATTTTTCAACCACAGCATATTGACATTTTGGCCTAGATACTTGATTGTGGGGCTGTCCTACCATTAGTTTGTATTTATCAGCATCCCTGTCTTCTTTACCCTCTAGATATCTGTTGTATCTTGTTTTTTTTTCTTTTTCTTTTTTTTTTTTTTTTGGTACCAGGGATCAAACTCAGGACCTTCCACTTGCAAGGAAGGTGGCAGAACCACTGAGCTAAATCCCCAGCCCTTGTGTTGTATCCCTTCTCATTGTGACCCCAGACACTGTGAAATATCCCCAGGGGACAAAATCACCCCATTGAGAACCAAATGAATGAAATAAATTGGCCATAAGTTGATAATTGTCTAATGTGAGTAATGAGTATATGGGTTCATTGCACTAGCCTCTCTATGTTTGTTTTGTATTCATCAAAATAAAATAAAAGGTTATTTAGAGATAAGATTTTTTTAAAATAGTAGAGAAGAAGAGATATGGAACAAGCAGGAGATATGAGTATATTATAATATTTCACTGAAATTGGAGAGAAACAATAAATAGGTTCATTTGTTCTGTGATCTTTTAAGAAGCTATGCTAGGGATGGGTCAGAAAGAATGTGCTGAGGCTACAGTCTTAAATAGATGTCTGAATCTTCACAGCTACAGTGATGTTCTACCACAGACATGGTGTACGAAGCTTTCACAATAAAAACTGCTAATCATGATATGTTAACTTGACTGGGTTAAGAAACATCTAGCAGATTAGTAAAGCACAGTTCTGAATGTGTCTGTGGAGATAATTGGCAATATACAGCAGCAAATTGGGGGTGGGGGAGACCCACCCTGATTGTGGGTGGCACCAACCCACAATTGATTGTGGAAATTGTCTGGAGTTATTTTAATCCCATAAGTTTATTGGTATACTTTAGGTATACATTATGATCACATTCATCATTGGGAATTTGTACCTGTACATGATATATCTTGGTTCTTGTTTTTCTCATTCCCCTTCCCTCCCTTCCACCCCTCCACCCCTCCCTACTTACAAAAGCTTTGTCTCCATTTTCCCCTTCTTTTCTCATATTTTTTTTCTTTCCCTACTTTCCTTTCCCCCACACCCCCTCCCTATTTCCCCTTCCCCTTTCTTATTCCCTTTCCCCTTCTTATTTCACATTATCTATTGGAAGTTGTCTGTCTTTTAAGAGCTCCAGTCTTCCTGAATGGTTGCACTTTTTGTTGCCGATTCCTTCGGATATAAGTCTCCAGTGAGTTTAGCTTTCCAGTGCAGGTCTCAAATCTTGGACTGGTGCTATATCTTTGACCCCTCTTATTCCTTGGCTTCCATCTTTTTGAGCTGAGCAGCTACTGAATTCTCTGTCTCTCCAGCACATAGATGGCCATTGTAGATGTTCCTACCTCTGATCCTGTGAGCCTACCTAATACTGTAGATCCCTGTCTTAGTCACTTTTCTGCTGCTGAGACAAAATACTCAACACCTAAAGTTAAAGGAGAAAAGATTTATTTCATCTCACAGTTTGCAGATGTTTCAGTCCATAGTCAGCTGGCTCCAAGGCATGGTAGAGGGGCATCGCAAAGGAGAAACAGTCCATGGTAGGGTAGGCAAAAAGTAGCAAGCCTGCCTTCCACCTTTCCTTTTAGTTTTTTGTTGTTGTTTGTTTTGGTACCGGGGATCAAACTCAGGTCCTTGTGCTTACACAGCAGGCGGTGAAACCACTGAGCTAAATCCCCAGCCCACCTTTCCTTTTGTATTCCAACCAGGCTAGTTCCACACACACCCAGGTTTGGGCTTCCTATTACCTACACCCAGAAAAATGCTAAACCAATCAGTGAACTAATTTAGTTATCACACACTCTCAATACATATTCACACACTCTAGATCCAGCTACCTCTGAAAAACCCCACCAATTAGCATGTGAGTCTTTGGAGGGACATCTAGATACAAGCCATAACAATACCCTGGCATAATTATACATGTATTTTCTATCAATTCTACTCCAATAGAAAATACTAATATCCTGTGGCATTCAATAAAAATTCTTTGTTCTCTTCTCAGTTGGAATAGGAGTCACCAATATGACCTGTATTTAGGTCAATTACCAATGGCCTAAATTAATTTTATTTGTACAAGACTGTGGTAGTTAATTGACTAATTGTCAATGTGAGTGGGAACACCCAGTTGATTTGAGTCACCATTTTGTTGGAACAGTATAAAAGGAGAACAGGAGGGAAGGATTTCAGCTGATCTTCCTTGAAGGAACTTCATTGCAGCTGCTTTTCTTTGGAAGAACTTCAGCATTTTTTCTTCAAAGGAGCTTTGGCTGCTTTCTTTCATCAGGGGAGCTTCAAGCCTCATCTTCATCTTGAATGCCATCTCCTGGCTTCCAATATAGATCCCTCAGCCTTCTGGCTCAGATTCTTCAGCCTTTTGGCACAGACACTTTAGCTTCTGACACTGGCCCTTGGGCCTTTCTGGCACAGTTCCTTCAGTCTCCCGTTGTGGATCCTTTAGCCTCCTGATACAGACTTGCATGGGACATTGCCATGGGCTCCAAGCCCTTGACTGGATCCTTCAGGTCTCCAGTGCACAAACAGACATCTTGCACTCTTTTACATCTGACTCTAGTAAGCACTGACTAATACAAATATCTGTTTTTTAAAAATCTGTGAAGTTATTCTACATTCATCTTTGTACCTTGAACTTATTTTTGGAAGGCAGGGGTGATGGGGAGAGTATTCTGTGCTATCATTGAATTTGGAGATTGTGACTCTAACTTGATGTCCCCATATATGCCCACCTCAGTGAGAGTTCTCAGATGCTGTTATAGGCTTAAATGTGAATTTCCCTAGAAACTCACATATTTAAGTCCTAACCATCAGTATTTCAGAATGTGACCTTTTTTAAAAATAGGGTCTTTATGCCTCACGAGCACAAGGTCCTGAGTTTTAAAAAAAAAAATAGGGTCTTTAAGAGGGAATCAAGTTAAAAGGACGTTATTAGTAGAGCCTCTAATGCAATAAACAAAAATCATGCCTTGAAGTCTACTCCCCCATGAAAACTGCCCAAATGAAAACACAGGATAGCTCCACTGGATACACTACAGCCACTGCTTAGGACTCAGTCCCCACAAATTTTACTGCCAACTCTGAGCATAGATCTTGGTGGCTGCTGCCTCAGGAAGTTTGATAGCTCTGCTGTGGTCCTCAGAAAATGGATCCAGATGGATATTTGCTTTTTCACATGACTTCCAAATCAAGACACGGGGTGATAGCCTGTAACTTCAGGCCAAGGCCACACTGCTATGTCTTGGATGAAGAAAGAAGGCTGGGAAAGTAACTTTCTGATTTAAAAATAGGGAAAAAAGAGAGCTACAAGGTACAATATTCCTACTTATAGTTGAAGGGTCTTCAAAGATTCTGGTGGTAAAAAAAAAAAAAGCACAATTCAATTTCATTATTGTCTTAGTACTGCAACTGTCTCCTTCTGTCAGCCTCCCTAGTACACATGGCTATGTAACTTCTGATCAATGTGATATAAGCAAAAGTGTTGTGTGAGATTCAAGAGACAATTCAGTCCTTTTTAGTATTTCTTCCTGAAATGCAGATATGATAATTGGGGCTGCAAAGCCATCTTGGTCCATGAAATGACCCTGGTATAGAACCTATGTGGTGAATATGAACAGACAGAAAGAGAACAGGATTGCAGATGACTTAAGGGAACCAATATACTAACCTGGATTACTTACATCTGCACTTCTTTAGGCGGAAATAAATCCTGAGGTCTTTAAACCCATTAACTTAGAGCAAGGAGGAGACAGTGTTATTGTCCACAACTGACAGCAATTTCCAAGTGGTCCTCCTAACAAATGAAAGATGTTTTGTTTCTTTGGGGGCTTTGGCTTTGTTTGTGTCTTATCAATGATTTGACTTTTTGTAATGTGTGTTGATTTTTACACTAGGAAGATTTATAAGTAAATAAACCTTTTAAATTGAGATACAATTGATTTTATTTTACCCAAAATATTTAGAAAGTAAAAACAAATTTTCAAGTTATACTTAAACTAGAAACCATTCTCCAGAAAACTGCCGCTTAATTTTTTGAATTCTTTTTTTTTTTTTTTTTTTGGTACTGGGGATCGAACTCGGGTCCTTGAGCTTGCTAGGCAGATGGTGAAACCACTGAGCTAAATCCCCAGCCCATTGTGTATCATATGTATGTGTTGTTGTTGTTGTTGTTTTGGTACCGGGGATCGAACTCAGGACCTTGCGCTTTCAAGGCAGGCGCAGGAACCACTGAGCTAAATCCCCAGCCCTTCCGCTTAATTTTTTTTAATAAAGGTGTTCTGTGAAACCAGTACAACACTGTTATGCATTTATGGACTTGTGTTCTGTGATCTAAATTCTAGGCAGTGTCAATCAACCCTAAGGTTTAATTGTATTTTTATAGTTGCTTAATAAAGGAAATTAAGGGGGCTTGAGGGAGGGAATGGGATAAAATAAAATAAAATTTATTTTTAAAAATAAAATAAAGGAGGCGCGCGACTCCTGACCCTGAGCACTCCATGGGGTGGAGAGGGCGGCTGGACTCAGTCACCCTGTCTTTGTTCTGTCACAGACGTGTGGGCCTACGTTCTTCCAAGCTGACAGTCGGTTCACAGTGAGCAGCATGTCACAGAGTCTTTGGGAAGCAATGAAGTTCATGACCAGAGCTCCGGGCTTTGATAGAGTTTGGGAAAAGGTGACTCTTGTCTCTGCTGCTCCTGAGAAAGTAATTTGTGAAATGAAAGTAGAAGAAGAGCATACTAATAAACAAGGCACTCTCCATGGTGGTTTCACAGCCACCTTAACAGACAGCATATCAAGAATGGCTCTGCTATTCACGGAAAGAGGAGTACCAGGAGTTAGTGTTGACATGAACATAACAGGTAGATACCAACCCTCCATTGTCCCCCAAGGGATTGCAGTATATACAACTCATCACTAGGATTTTAAGAGCCTCATTCATTTCTTACGGTTCTTAGTCATTTTAGAGGTACATGTCACCTGCTAAAATAGGAGAAGAAATAGTAATTACAGCAAATATTCTGAAGCAAGGAAAGACACTTGCTTTTGCCTCTGTAGATATGACCAACAAGGCCACGGGAAAACTAATAGCACAAGGCAGACACACAAAACACCTGGGAAACTGAGAGAACAGCAGGATGAAAGGAACCCAGTGGTGAATATCAAGTGTAAATTTGAACAAATTTTCAAAATAAATAAGCAGAGTCACAAGTAAAAAAAATAAAATAAAATAAAATAAAGAAAATTAAACTTTTGACATAACATTTATCGTCTCATAATTGCTGAACTTATTCATTCCTAACCTTAAACTGTGAACTCTTTTAGGCTTCTAGGGAAAAGCAACAAATGCAAAATTGTGTTAAGTGCAAGGAGAAAAGGAGATTCCCATCATGGAACATGAACATTTATATCTCTTAGCCCAAACCTAAGGCTATAATCATATGGGTGGGTTATTTTTCCCTGTTTGGTTGGCTTTTTGTTTTTGTTTTGTTGTAGTTTTGAGACAAGGTCTCACTATGTAGTCCAGGCTGGGCTTAAACTCCTAATCCTCCTGTTTTTGCCTTCTAAGTGCTGAGATTACAAGTACATGCTACCACACCTGGCTAATCATGTGGTTCTTAATTCTAGCACTGATGGTGACAACAGAGGACTTTAAAAATTTTCAGCTGCTTTATACTGAGTGATGTGAAGAGTTTAGGTGATTTTAAAGAGAGAAATACTAAAACTAGAGAAATAGCAAGAGAGAAGCAAAGGATAAAGGTGGTGGGAGAGACAAAATATAAAGAGAAAAAAAGAGAAGCTGTTAGAATTCTTTATATTTGAGCAGAGAAAGATGGAATGATTTGCTGATTATATGATTACAAACATGGGCAGAGATAGAGTTTGCCAAGACAGGATCTGGATTAAACATACCATAAGGAAAAATATAATTCAGCAAAATATTTCCTCTTCTGTGATGACCCAACATACATTTCAGGGCCTACAGCCACAAAAGGAGGGGACTTGATAAAAGAACAACTAGAAACTATTTACTCCTTCCTCTTAAGCCCACAAAGGAAAGGAGATACCTTTTCAGGCTATGTGACAAAAAAATTAAAGAAGTTAACAAGTTGAAGATAGTTTTCTGGTTCTTGTTTCAATGACAATATAACTGTTTTTACAAACCCATGATGCTGAATAAAATAAAACCAATGGATAGAGAATATCAGAAAAGGGCATTGTTGCTTTTGTGTATGAAAAATATCTACAAAATTACTGCATTATTATCCTGGATCTGATTTAATGTCGCCCTCATACCATACCCAAATTTAGTTTTAGGTCATTAATTTGTTATTAATTTTTAAAATATATAATGACACAGCAAGAGTTTTATTCTGCCAAGTTAATATCCTCATTTTTAATAACGTATTATTAAATGCAAAGCTTTGGATTCAATCCTCAGCACGAAACAGAAAGAAAAAAGAAGCACCAAAAAAGGAGAAAATTTTCCATTTTTATATTTCACTCAGGCATAGCTTATAGAAGTTGTATAATATTCCTGAAAATAATGGTCTTTTTCTTCTTTTTTTGTTTTTTTAAATAGAGTTTCACTGTGTAGTTCAGGCTTTGCTTGTTTTTTGAGAGAGTCTCACTATGTAGGTCAGTCTGGCTTTGAACTATGTATCCCAGGTTGGCCTCAAACTGGCAGCAATCCCCCTGCTGCAGCTTTCCAAGTGCTGGAATTACAGGTGTGTGCCACTACATCCCAGAAAGAATGGTTCTTTTGACTTTTCACACAGTTTTCCAAGTGGTTTCTCCCCCTTCATTGGTTAATCTCTTGAGGTAAAGTGTTACATAATCATTCCTGATGGATCCAGTGTCCTGGTATTGATGTATACTACCCTCCCAGAATGACTTTGGCCTTTACCATATGACTTGTTCTAATCAATGAGACATCAGGAAGTGTGACAAGGAGAAACTTAAGTGTTCTCACACTTGGGGCTCACCCTTTTGATATGCCATTGGTCACCATGTGAAGTAGCTTGGTCCAATCTCCTTAACTGTCCACATGAAGGCAGAGGCCCAGGCCCCAGCTATCTACCAAAACCACAGCCACTTGAATCATCCTAGGTAGGACCAGCAAAGATCCATCCAAGTAAGATCAGTCTAAATTTCACAATTGGGCAAATAAACTGCTGTTAAGCTTTAGAGAAGTTAGTTATTCAGAAACAAATAATAGACCACTTACAAGTGAATCCAATTAATAAATACAATTTAATGAATATAACTAAATACAGAGGCACACTATAAAGGCAGGAGTGGTAGAAGACCTTCTTTCATCAGCTGTCTAGAAATGTGAGATTTGTCTTCCACATCTTTGTCTATTTAGATAAGTGATGACGAACAAAATGCAGTTGTGATCAATTAGTTACTGAAGGCACTTTTAAACTGTGCACCCAACACCCATTGTCCTCTACCTTTTTTTTTTTTTCTGGCAATGACCTGGAGATCAAACCAAGGACCTTACCACATGTTAGGCAGGTGCTGTACCACTGAACCATCTCCCCAGCCTCCCTACAAGTTTCTTGCTAACAGAATACTGACTTTGTTTAAGCGGTCAAGTGCTTTAAGAAATGCTAAGCGTGGGGCCAGGGATTTAGCTCAGTGGTTTCTCCGCCTGCTGCTCAAGAGCAAGGACTCGAGTTTGATCACCGGTACCAAAAAAAAACAAATGCTAAGGGCCTCCAAACCCCAAGAGGTGATCCTGATTAAGTCAAGAATAGAGGTTCCTTTCTTCTTGTTTCTGACTAGTTTAGCAGTGGGCATATGAGACTATTCTGGCCAAAAAGACATGAGGGAAACTTTTTTGGAGGTACATGTGAAACATGTCCCCCTCATCTTTAAAAATGAGTGTCCAGAGCCGCGGATTTAGCTCAGTGGTTCCGCCGCCTGCCTCTCAAGCACAAGGTCCCAAGTTGGATCCCCAGTACCAAAAAATAAAATAAGTGTCCAAAAGGAAAGAGTTCCAATTATTTCTGGTTTTGAATGTTATGTGAAAATTATATTCTTAGAATAGCATCAATCAATCCATCATGAAGGAACCAAAATGCCTCATGAGGCTAGAAATCAACATGCTAGTGACATCAGAGATGTGTCATCAAGCCATTCTGCACCACTAAATCAACCATCCTCAGACCAGTTACACCTTTAGATAAGTAATATGTCAGCAGTGATAACTGCTATGAAGAATATGTCAGCTAATAAGTAATAAGTCAGCAGCACATGCTATGAAGAATAAAGCTATATAAATGCTAAGATAAGAATAAAGATAAATGCTAAGATACCAGTGGAGGAAGTTGCTATTTTATATGGAATAGCTAAAGTCTCTAATACATGATGTATGACTCAAAGAAAGTGAAAGAGAAAGACATTTAAAATATCTAGGAAGTGTAAAAGCCCTGAGGAGGAAGTGTGTCTTGTGGTTTCAAAATTAAGCAAGGTGGCCAGGGTGGCTGGAACAGAGCTTGTGAGGGGAACAGTGCTAGTGTCCTGGAGGTCAAGTGCAGTTTCTAGAAAAAGGAAATGAAAATCATGGACGATGAGGGCTTGACTTGACTGTGGATTTGGTAACATGGTATGCAATGCTTTTATTGGCAGAAGTGTCCATAGGAGTGAAGGGTATGGAAATCTGATATGGCACGTTCAGTGGAAAAAAAAGGAAGTTAAGATGGTGACTTAGGAGGTCCTGAGTCACACAGAACATGCCAAATCAGCCCTCTGCAGACAGGCAGGTATGTGCATGCCCTACCGAGGTCCTGAGTCAGGTGGAAGAGACCGAATCACCCCACTGCAGACAGGCAGCCACCGGGTTCTACACTACAAACACGCAGAGGACACCAGACCACCAGACCAAGGTACTGAGTCCCAATGTTCCCGGCCCAGAGGCAGGGGCTTCTGAGCCGGAGTCCCACAGCTCCTGGTCCAGAGGAAGGGGTTTCCTGGTCACCATCCCTCCCGCTGCTCCCAGCGCAGAGGAAAGGGCTTTTGGGCCACCTTCTGTCCCACTGCTCCTGGCCCAGAAGAAGGGGCTTCCAGGACACCATCCCTCCCACCGCTCCCGGCCCAGAGGGAGGGGCTTCTGAGCCACCATCCCACTGCACCTGGTCCAGAGGAAGGGGTTTACCGGTCACCATCCCTCCCGCTGCTCCCAGCCCAAAGGAAAGGACTTTTGGGTCATCATCACTGCCGCTGCTCCCGGCCCCTGTCCCACATCACCCAGCTCAGAGGAGGTAATCAGTGCAGGCGCTAACAGCCCCCGCCCCAGTCCAAATGAGAAAACATGTAAATAAGTCTCAAAACCAGACTTCCACATCACCTACAGCAACCTCAAAGGGAAATGAGATGGAACACTCTGATACTCAACCACCTGGACCCACTGAACTGGCAAC